TAGAATTTACTCTTTGTCCGTTTAAATGTCCTGTTCTGAGGTACTCGAATGTTCTACCGATATACTCGGAAGTATCTCTTCCTAAACATTGTCTACTATTTCTCCCAGTGTTGGTTAATATGCCATGCATGGGGATCTTCTATGCCTAAATATATTTTCTTCGTTAGGTTCAGAATGATTTTTGCAAAATTATTTCATACACAAATTTTTGCTTGCTTATTCGGCAAGAAGAGTGTTGCTATTTAAGCCAAAATCGCAAGTTTTACCAATTCGGCACGACACATACACACAGGCACAGTACCATGACTAAAACAATACACAAGTAACCTGCACAGAGGAGAATGAAACTTATGATATTTGGGTCTGACTTGGATCATTAACTAGTCACACAAGCGCAAAGGGAAGGGAGCCAGTATATATATATATATATATATATATATATATATATAATATATATATATATATATATATATATATATATATATATATATGCAAAACAACCACTGTGAAAGAATAGAGAAATTCCAAGCGTTTCCGTGACTACTCACATTATCAAGGAACAATAAAAGTAATGCATCAAAGGAAGGTATATAAAGGGTCTAGCCCACACCTCACTATCACATCCCACAACAAAGCAACACCTGATGTGCAACTCATAAGAAAGGGAATACTGCAGCAGGCCCGCTGGCCCAACTAGACAGGTCCTTCACACAACCCACCAACAAACTATTCTACCCAAGAATTAAGACTTTTAAAATTTATTATTTGTCCAATGTATTATTAAGTTCTTCCCAAATTCTATTAATTATAAATGGATCTAATTTATATAAACCAAAGGAAATATTCATATTATTGTCAAAACTGCTTTTTATGAAACAAGATTCAATTATATTCCTGTCGACCATGGGCTTGCTTGATATAACTTTCTCAACTTTTTGAAAATCAATAGGATGGTTAAAATCTCTCACGTGAATAACAGAGCATTGGAATCTAGTCCAGTTCTAATGCTATATTTATGTTGTTTTAATCTTAGTTCGAACCTTTTACCAGTTTGACCGTAATAAACTTTATCGCAAATTTTACAAGGAATCTTACAGACACACCCGTCAGCATTTTGGGGGGAATTCTTTATCAAAAGTTTTGTTACTGTATCAAGATTTTTAAATACAACTTTGATATTAAAAGTCTTAAGAAGAGAAGGCATATCAACCAAGTTTTCATGGTAAGGGAGAACCAGCATATTTTTAGTTGAACAAGGCTGGTTGCCCCTTTTTGGATTATAAAAAGAATTTCCAGCAATTTTAAAAGGTTTATCAATTACATTTCTTGGGTATTTCAAATCATTACCTATTTCATAAATTTTGGATATTTCCTCATCTATGAACTCTGTTTCCTCATCTATGAACTCTGTTTCCTCATCTATGAACTCTGGACTACAAATATGTAAAGCTCTCAAAAACATTGATGAGAAAACGGACAGTTTAACTCTATCTTGATGTGAAGAATAATAGTGGACATAGGAACAGTTATTTGTAGGTTTTCTGTAAATTTTAAATTTGAATTCATTATTACCCTTAATAATTAAAACATCTAGAAAAGGCAATGAGTTATTTTCTTCAAACTCAACAGTAAAGTTTATAGAATGGGCTAAACTATTTAATTTGCCAAGGAAATGGTGTATATCTACATACTTGGGCATAAGACACAAAATATCAACATATCTGAACCATTTAGCTCTATTAGGGAGGATTGTGTTAAGCAGCCTTGTTTCAAAAAATTCCATGTATAGGTTACTAAGAACAGGTGAAAGAGGATTTCCCATTGCCATACCAAACTTCTGAGTGTAAAACTTATCATTAAATACAAATTTTGCATCAACAATGCAAAGTTTAATAAGTTTAATGATAGTAGGAACTGGCAATGGTAAATCATAATTAACGAGCTCTTCAGATAAGAAACTTAATAAATCATCAACAGGAAATTTCATAAACGAGGAAGTAACATCAAAACTAACCATGTATAGGGAAGTGGTAAGGTAAGGAGATAAAGATTAGGTCAAGTCACAAGTGTTCTGAAGTTTGGAACATTTGAAAATGTAATGAAAAACGAAGGTATCTACAGATACAAAGCCAGAACTAAGATTCATATTAGGAAAGTTGTGTATAAGGGATGCTTCAACAAGACGGTATCTGTGAAGGGTAGATAGTTTTGGCAGAAGACCAGTTAGTAGAATGACTGGAATCTCTAACATGACAGAAAAAGAGCGTTATTATTAGTGTCGGGAAGTCTAACACTTCTTTTGTGCTATTAAGTCTGTCCGAAAGAGAGCAGCCAGTTTCTCTAAATATTGGAGAGGACGAGAGGAGCAGAAATGGAGCAGACTCTGGACACATCAGTAGCAGGAGAGGTACAAATTAGATTATTATGAAGGGTATTAGTTGGGCAACAAATAGTCTGGTGTCTAAGGAACGGAGGAAATTGTTAAGATTTAGGAGACTGGAAATATTGGGAAGGCAAAGAATATATTTCACAGTTCGCTGTCTTGCCTTGACTACCCTTTCAGTTTTATAAATTTTGCCTGCTCACATGTTAAACGGACTTTCTTTTCCAGCAAACTCTCTACTTCTACCTCCTCTCGTTCTACTACTTCCTTCCCTGCCCCCTTCCCTTCATCTCGCATATAGGCTGCTTCCATATCCTTTGCTCTTCTGTGTGACTAATTAATGGTCTAAGTCAGACCGAAACGTCGCAAGTTTCATTATGCTAAATGCTGTAAACAGTTTTTATGAGGATAGTGGGGCTCACGTTAGGGTGTATAGAAGAGAGGGAGACTACTTCCCAGCAAAAGTAGGTCTTAGACAGGGATGTGTAAAGTCACCATGGTTGTTTAACATATTTATAGATGGGGTTGTAAAAGAAGTAAATGCTAGGATGTTGGGGAGAGGGGTGGGTTTAAATTATGAGATATCAAATACAAAAATGGGAGTTGACACAGTTACTTTTGGCTGATGATACTGTGCTTTTGGGTGATTCTAAAGTTGCAAAGGTTAGTGGACGAGTTTGGGAGGGTGTGTAAAGGTAGAAAGTTGAAAATGAACATAGATAAGAATAAGGTGATGAGGGTATCAAACGATTTAGATAAAGAAAAATTGGATATCACATTGGAGGGAGTATGGAAGAAGTGAATGTTTTCATATATTTGGGAGTTGACTTGTCAGCAGATAAGTTTATGAAGGATGAGGTTAACCATAGAAATGATGACGGAAAAAAGGTGAGTGGTGCTTTGAGGTATCTGTAGAGACAAAAAACGTTATCTAGGGAGGCAAAGAAGGGAATGTATGAGAGTATAGTGGTATCAACACTCTTATATGGGTGTGAAGCATAGGTTGTAAATGCCTCAGCGAGGAGGCGGCTGGAGGCAGTGGAGATGTGTGTTTAAGGGCAATGTGTGGTGTAAATATTATGCAGAGAATCTGTAGTGTAGAAATTAAAAGGTGTGGAGTTACTAAAAGTATTAGTCAGAGGGCTGAAGAGGGGCTGTTGAGGTGGTTTGGTCATTTAGAGATAATGGAACAGAGCAAAATGATTTGGAGTGTATAAATCTGTAGGGGGAAAGAAGGCAGGGTAGGGGTCGTCCCCAAAAAGGTTGGAGGGAGTAAAGAAGGTTTTGTGGGCGAGGGGCTTGGACTTCCAGCAAGCATGTGTGAACGATGTTAGGAATGAGTTAAGACGAATGGTTATTGGGACCTGACGAGCTGTTGGAGTGTGAGCATGGTAATATTTTATGAAGGGATTCAGGGAAACCGGTTAGCCGGACTTGAGTCCTTGAAATGGGAAGGGACATCTAAACTGCAGTATCTGAGCCCCTCTGCCAAGACAGTGATGTACTAGTGATGGTGAGTGTTGAATGATGATGATGAATGTTTTTTTTTTCTTTCTTTTTGGGATTTTCTTTCATTTTGGGTCACCCTGCCTCGGTAGGAAACGGCCGTGTTAATATATATAATGTCGTGCCGTATAGGTAAAACTGGTTAATTAACAACTCATTTAAAATTAAGTCCTCTCTAAAAATTTTCTCTTATACATTTAAAGATAATTTTTTTTCGTTTATGTTAATGCAAAAATTTTATATTTTAATGGTGTGGTAGGCATAGAATATTCAAATACACATGCAATTGTGACCGGGTATAGAGCCTGCGCGGTAACTCCCCAACCATGCCATGGAACTGAAGACCTGTGTCCAGATCCTCTCAGCCACGACCTCCTTATAAGGATGAAGGGATGGCTTGACCCATCTCTGGGAGATATCAAGGCTGAGGAACATAGAGGAATGTTGCAGCGACTATCACTTGATTTTTATAAGGAGGCCGTTCGGTACCATTCTTTACCTCCCTGGGGGAGGAATAGGGTGCTAATGTGCGTTGGATTCAGGGTCAATAAGGATAATTGTTTATGTATGTATGTACTTACCTCGCCTAAATGTGGTTGCAGGGGTCGAGTCATAACTCCTGGCCCCGCCGCTTCGCTAGTCGCTATATTTATATAATATTATTATATAATATATATATATATATATATATATATATATATATATATATATATATATATATATATATAATAAAATATATATATATTATATATATAATATATATATATATATATATATATATATATATATATATATATATATATATATATATATATATAAATAATCATCATATTATACACACAAAGTCATAGAGGTCATCTAGGTCGAGTTTCCCTTCAGAATGAATAAATCTTTCGCCCACTACCCGCAGCCTACTCAACATGTTCAAGTGGTTATTATTTAATCACTCCAGAAGATGCTAGACCACATTGTGTAGCCACCCTGGTCTATATGACATTTTAGAAGGTTAGAGCAAGTGCTAAGTTACCTAACACGCTTTCACTGACGTAAAATTTGGTGTCCTCGGGAGCAGTAGTGCCCACTTCCCGTTCCGAACCCCAGGAGTACTCACCCTTCGAACCACTTCCTCTTGCACCTGCACGTCCGCCGTCATCGTCGCCTACAGATAAAACCCGAAAACTCCGGTTTATGCAGTAACCAGCCCTTCCTCTGGGTCTCCTTCAGTTCCTTTTGGCTCGGAGACTTTGTCCCGTTTCGGTAAAAGTTGTAATGTCCTGATTCCTTCAGTCACACCTTCGATGCGATTAATATCCTTGGGAATGAAAGTGTTGCAGAAGGAGAGCACGGTAGTTGAAACTCCGACGGTGACTGTGGCGGGCTAGCAACTGAGGCTAGGGAGTGGTGGAGGCAGGCCCGCTACACACGCCTCCCACCCTCTGCCCCTAATATATCCCCCCTCCTTCCATCCACCCTCACCGACCACCTCCAATCCCCAGCCCTTCCAAGACCCGTCAAAACCCATCGTGGCCTCCCACCCGACATGCTTGTTCTATTTGATTGAATGTCGGTTCAAAGGGTTCTCCGTTAAGTGTAAACTGTTAGTGGTACGATGTTCCTACCCTGAGGACTGGAAAATGGGGGGAGGTCAGTTTCTGGAGAAGTTTGAGCACAACCAGTTGTCTTGGAGAGTTTCTCTGGTGACGTCATGTGTCGTAGCCCTGACTGCTAGCCACCCGGCATCCCTACAAACATGCAACGCTCTTTCCCCCTCCCTCTCACGAATATAATAATTAACATGCACCCTCGTCACCACAATACAGTGTGAGCCCCATAGCTGCGTGTCAGCTCAGTGTCAGGGGAGAGTTGGGTTACAATTGTGTTGTTCTCATGAGTGTGGTAGGAGGCTGGCATCCCTCCCTCTGCATGACCTACTACCCGGCTACATATTTAGCTTTCTTTTGAGTTCCTTCTGGAGACTAGGGTGTGGTAGAGCAGCGAGCCAGCAGATAAGTGTAGTGAGCGACTTCAAGCCATGACACAGCCAAAACAGAGGACACTTAATTATTTGAACTGTGATGAGTGAGAAACATGGCGCCATCCCGGCCACAACTTCCCTCCAGGAATTGTCTCACCGGCTACCCTTCACTTTCCCCTCCAGGGAGGTTCCTTGATGCTGTTGAGGGGCTCTCAATCCAAGGAATTGGACCTGCGCTCCCCTTGGCTTGAACCAGATTTCTTCCCATTTCCCAGGCCCTGTATGACACCTACAGATTTTGCCCCTTCCCCTTAAATACAATTATAATACCCTTTATTATATACCACTTAAAGGTAACAGTTTGCGATCGCTACTCGGCCTATTTCGTTTACTAATTATATTTTGAATTTTAAAATATTAAGTTGGTTTGTAGTTGAAATATGTAGTGCAAATGGTAAAAAAAAAAAAAAGTAACCAAACCTAGCAAAAACTCACTTAATCCAATCTAAAGTAACCTATTGTAACTTAACCTCTGCTATTGGTCTGTCGTGTCTGCTTGTCATGAGGCAGCCGTCCATGAGACAACTTGGTACTAAGTGATTGGCTCAGACGCGCCGCGCAACCAAAATTAATGTTTTCACTAATATATCCCAAAATAACTATATGCACAAGAGATACTTATTCCATAGTGTACATAGGTTGAATATATTGTAAAATGTTAAATGTTAACTAATACCCAAGGTCTGCTGAGTGGTAGTTGGTGAGCCTAGCCAAGTTTACTGCTCTTTTGTTAACAACAATAATTCAACGCTGTAATCCTATATTACCAGCGTTTCTTTTTTATATAATAATAATAATAATATAATAATAATAATAATAATAATAATAATAATAATAATAATAATAATAATTTTTAACACTACCGTCTTCCAACGAAGTACAAAGTGACCCGAAAGAGGAAACACTTTCGGTGTCATTCGTTCACTGTTTAACCAGAAACGGGCTGACATCACAGTTTATTTAACTCTCCGAACTGCAGAATGCAAGCACTGTATTTTCCACCTCCAGGACTTAATGAAGTCCGGTTAGCCGGTTTCCCTGAATACCTTCATAAATGTTACGTTGATCACACTCCAACAGCCCATCAAGTCATAAAAATCACTTGCCTCCATTCCTATCTAATGTGCTCAGTAAACTTGTTGGATATCCAAACCCCTAGCACTCAAAATTTTCTTTACACCTCACCCCAACACTACCTACTCTCTCTTCTCTAATTCATACACACTCCTAGTCATCCAGTTTTCCTTCATCCTCTCTAAGTGTCCAAACCTACTCAACAACCATCCTTAGCCCTCTGAACAATACTTTTGGTAAACCCACATCTTCTGATGTTCAAGCTCCAAATTCTCTGTATAATCATATCACATATTACCTCTCAAACACATCTCCATTACCTCCAGCCCCCTCCTAGCTGCAGTGTTTAAAACCATAAAATGTACTCTTATACACCGGTACATTTCCCTTTTTTTTTAAAATAATAATAATAATAATATATTTTTTACTACAAGTACATGTACAAGGTATACAGGCCTAGCTGACAACAATGACATACTACTATATAGAAAGCCCCTTGTTATGCTCCGCATGTCGGGCAAATTAGGTCAGTGTCCCAGGATGCGACCCACACCAGTCGACTAACACCCAGGTACCCATTTTACTGATGGGGAGCATAGACAACAGCTGGAAAGAAACACGCCCAATGTTTCTAGTCTGGCTGGGAATCGAACCCAGGCCCTCGCCGTGTGAAGCGAGAGCGTTAGCCACCAGGCCACCTGTATGACCCTGGTAGGTTTAGAGCTTCCTTTTGATAATAATAATAATAATCATAATAATAATGTCAAATATTCCATTGTTAAAGTTCTTTGTATCCACAGATGTCTCAATGCAACAGCAGTAACAACCTGGTTGATCAGGCCCTGATCCACCGGGAGGCGTGGTCGTGGACCGGGCCGCGGGGGCGTTGATCCCCGGAATAACCTCCAGGTAGACTCCAGGTAAACCTTTTCCCTTTGTCATTTCTATGGTTCACTTCATCTTTCATAGAACAATCTGCTGACAAGTTCATTTCAAAATATCTGAACACAATTACTGCCTCCGTATACCTGGAGAGGGTTTTGGGGTCAACAACCCCGGGGCCTCATGGTGGATCAACCAGGCTGTTACTATTGGCCACACGCAACCCGACGTACGAACCACAGCCCGGCTGGTCAGGTACTGACTAGGTGCCTGTCCAGCGCCTTCTTGAAGACAGCCAGGGGTCTATTGGTAATCCCCCTTATGTATGCTGGGAGGCAGTTGAATAGTCTTGAACCCCTCACACTTTTTGTGTTGTCTCTTATCGTGCTAGTGGTGCCCCTGGTTTTCATTGGGGGATGTTGCATCGTCTGCCGAGACTTTTTCTTTCATAGGGAGTGATTTTTCGTGTGCAAGTTTGGTACTAATCCCTCTAGGATTTTCCAAGTGTATATAATTATGTATCTCTCCCGCTTGCATTCTAGGGAATACAGGTTGAGGTGTTTTATGGCAGTTGTGTGTGCCATGAAGGTTCTCTGTACATTTTCTAGGTCAGCAGTTTTACCTGCCTTGAAAGGCACTGTTAGTGTGCAGCAATATTCCAGCCTATATAGAACAGGCGACCTGAAGTGTGTCATCATGAGCTTGGCAACCCTAGTTTTGAAGGTTCTCATTAACCATCCTGTCGTTTTTCTAGCGCAGGCGATTGATCCAATGCTGTGGTCTTTGAAGGTGAGATCCTCTGACATTATCACTTCCAGGTCTTTTACATTAGTTTTTCGCTCTATTGTGTGGTTGGAATTTGTTTTCTACTCCAATATAGTTTTAATTTCCTCACATTTTCCAAATCGGAGTAATTTAAATTTCTCATCATTGAACTTCATATTGTTTTCTGTGGCCCATTTAAACATTTGGTTGATGTCCGCCTGGAGTCTTGCGGTGTCTTCAATGGAGGACACTGTCATGCAAATTCGGGTGTCATCTGCAAAGGAAGACACGGTGCTGTGGCTTACATTCCTGTTTATGTCAGATATGAGGCTGAGAAACAGGATGGGAGTGAGTACTGCGCCTTGTGGAACAGTTTTTCACCGTAGCCGCCTCAGATTTTACTCTGTTTACAATTACTCTGCATTCTATTTGATTGGAAATTATAAATCCATCAACCAACTTTTCCTGTTATTATTTATCACGCATTTTGTGCGCTATTACACCATGGTCACATTTGTCAAAGGCTTTTGCAAAGTCTGTGTATACTACATCTGCATTTTGTTTGTCATAGTGGTCCAGTAGTTGGGACAGGCAGGAGCAACCTGCTCTAAACCCATGTTGCCCTAGGTTGTATGACTGATGAGTATCTAGATAGGTGGCGATCTTGCTTCTTTGAACCATTTCAAAGATTTTTATGATATGAGATGTTAGCGCTATCGGTCTGTAGTTCTTTGCTATTGATTTACTGCCCCCTTTGTGGAGTGGGGCTGTCTGTTATTTTTAGCAGCTGTGGGATGATCCCTGTGTCCATGCTCCCTCTCCATAGGATGCTAAAAGCACATGATAGGGGCTTTTTGCAGTTCTTGATAAACACAGAGTTCCATGAGTCTGGGCCTGGGGCAGAGTGCATGGGCATGTCAAATATCATTTTTTCGAAGTCATTTGGCATCAGGATAATGTCAGATAGGTTTGAGTCTACCAAATTCTGTGTCCCTCTCATAAAAAATTCATTTAGGTCTTCGTCTGGTTAGCGGCTCGCTAAAAACCGAGTCATATTGGGACTTGAGTAGTTCACTCATTTCCTTGCTGTCATCTGTGTAGGACCCATGTCGTCTAAGTAGGGGCCCAATACTGGATTTGGCATAAGAAAATAAATATTTTGGGTTTCTTTCAGTTTCATTTATGGCTTTTGGTTCTTTCTGCATTTCTTGACTCTTGTAAGATTCCTTTAGCTTTAGTTCAATGTTTGCTATTTCTCTGACCAGTGCCTCCCTTCGTATTACAGATATATTGGCCTCTTTTAGCCGCTCTGTTATTCTTTGCCTTCGCCTGTATAGGGAACACCTTTCTCTTTCAAGTTTACATCTTCCTTTTCCTTAAAGGAATATTCCTTGAGCATACCTCAAGTGCCACAGAGTTAATTTGTTCTAGACATAGGTTTACGTCTGTGTTGCTTAGGCTATTTTCCCATTATATATCATTTAGGGCCGTGGTGGCTCGTGTATAGTCACTGCAGACCTGCAGCACTCCCTATTTTCACTTTGCATGTGCACATGTCTGAGATAAGACGCTACATGCTAGGTAGAGAGAGCACTGTCGCTGATGCAGTGCCGACTCTGTTGTTAAAGTGTAAGGTAGTGTTTCTTT